TCAGCAGAGAGATGAGGAAGAATAGCTGCTGAGAAGGCTTGACTTTCAGCGGGCAGCACTAGAAACATTAACACTGGGTCAGTAGTAGTTGTTAAACTAATCGGTAAGGGAGAGGGCTGTCCTGTAAGATCTGGGAATACGTTTAAGATTCACTTTTTGAAAAACAAAAAATCAAACATGTATTTTTGGTATACCGGTAATAAATATTAATTTCTGAAAATAATTTTCTTTTCTACATAAATCGACATTCAGGCAAAATAAAAAAAAAATTCTGGTTAACTCATTTCAATTAATTCATTAAGACATTAAGGACTTAAGGATTCCTGGAGGCCAAATATAAAAAAATTAATTATAAAAATGAATGAGATAGGATGTATAAATATTTTAGTTTTATGCTATATGTTATTTGATTGATTTTTTTAATAGATTACCTTCCAGTTTCCTGTTGACTAAACCCTACCCATAATGCCCTGGTTTAAGACAAACCTGAAAAAGAAGCAAAATATTTCCTTCACATTGTTTCTTAAACTACAATGCATTTTTATAATTAACTAATTTATTATTTAGGACTGCTGTAAACCAACTTTGCCCTAAAATACAGCAGCAAATGCCTCATTGAGCACTATAGTTAGTATGCAGCTTAGGCTGATGGAAATGCTAGGGAAGCCTATGGAAATTTTAAGGAAGAAACAGACAAAATAAAATGTTGGAAATAAATTTCAAAGAAAAGCTTTTGGATGTTTTTCCAGTAATTTTTATTTTTCAAACTTTCCTCCATTTAGAATTGCACAATTTTACACAAGCAATTTAACTTTATATTTAATATGTAATGTTCAAATAATAGTGTTTAAATCCAAGTAAATTGATATAAACAATATAATTAACAACTTTTTTATATATTGCATAAATATTGCTGCTAAAATAATCATTGGTTGAATTTCTAGAATTAACAATAACAATGCTATCAACATTCTCCAAATGCCTATTGAATAAATGCAGGCTTGTCTAACATGCAGCAGTCTACTGATTGTATGAGTTCACCCAAATAACAATGATGGTGATGAAGCTGACCGATATGAAGACAATGTAGACGCCAAACAGCAGGCGGTCAATGATGAAACCCACCTGCATCCACTCCTCTGAGCTCTGGCTGCCATTGTGCTGCTGCTCCACCTCAGAGCGGATGGCCTTCAAGACGTTGCTCAGGCTCCTCAGCTCCTGAAGGGCCTCATCCTGATCAGCTGATCCTCCTGTTCCTGAAGGCCCCTCATTGGATCCACGTTTTAGCACCACAGCATTCTGTTGTCCTTTTTTTCCAGGAAATATTGTTTACATTTATTTAACAATCTTTACTAAATTTATTTAAGTTACTTATTTTTCAAATTTTTTTCAAAATGTACCTGAATTCTTTGATTTCTTAGACTTTCGGGGCATGCAAACAAGACAGCCAAAAAAATTCAGAATAAGCATCCGAATCCATCGAGGGACGGGGGACAGTTTAGAGGAGTTGCTGAATAGGTTGGTGATGAAGATGGTCTCCAGCAGACTGGCCACCATTAAACCCAGACAGAGAGAGAAGAACACATCTGATGGAGAGAGACCAGAGGATTTAGGTGTTAGCGTCTTGGTTAAGGTAGGAATGTATGTTTATAATAAAAGAAAACATCAGTTTAGAAGAAAATCAGTAAAAAAGTCAGGAGAAAAAGGCCATTAGCTCTGCTCTCTGAAGCCCATACTGACTTATTAGCGGTATGGTGTTTCCAGTGACTGGAAGCAGGTCACTCATCATGAGCAGGAAGACCGTGTAACCCAGGATGAGGGTCATCTTAAAGGAGGATCTGTCGGTGCTCTGAGGAGGCAGGAGGAAGCTCAAGAGATCCACTGCGATGAGGAAGCAGCTGGGGAGCAGCAGATTCACCACATACATGGTGGCACGGCGCCGCAACCGGATCTGCAGAGAGAGAATGCACGGGATTTAAACTGGACGGCGTGTTTTGCACGACTAATGTATTCAAATAAAAATCCTAAATAAACGTACATAGAATGCAAGCTTGTCGACGTAAAGAAAGGACTCTTCATCATTGACGAGTTTTTGGGCAGTAATGTCCAGCAGCTCCCATTCACCCATGGTGGTCATCACTTGCTTGGACAGATTGGTGATCGCCTCTGGGTCTCGTCCGAGGAAAACCCTGACCTCAATAGCTGGAGAGAAAACAACAACAACAGCTGACCTCAGAATCCCCCAAACATAAATAAAATCACTCATTCAATCAGTCTGTCTGTCTAATTTACAGCTATTTGCTTTTTAGTCCCTCTCTGGCCTCCATGTCTATGTCTTGTGTTTTTTTTTT